ACCAAAGACCCGTAGAGTTTGGATGCCAAAGACTCCGCAAACATCCGTGCCGGGCCCGTCCACTGCACCACCGGTGAAACCCTGGGTTAGCCCAGATTTATCCAAATTTAAGATCACGATGGCGGATCGTCTCGGTCCTTCGGTGGACGATCGAGGCAAAGCCCCATTTAAAGAAAACCAAAGTCCAGCAAATAAACCCTTAGTGGTTTCATATACAGGGGGTCGTAAACACCCACCTGTCAGAACTGCACAAGTCCAAAACGAGAGAATACCAGTTCACTCTCGTTTAGGACCTATGAAAACCCCACTCCCGCAAAGGGGTGGATTTAAAAATTCAACTTTGGATCGCCCAGAGGCGACGACTAGTCGTCCTGTGCATGTTAACAAAGTTCAAAAACAAAAGATAGGTTGCTCAAGTCATAATAACGACGAGCTGTACTATCAGAAAAACAATTCAAGGAAAAGGATTGCCCGAGAAGATGAGTCTCATTGCGCATGCGAGAGGCTCATTAAGGCGGTGCTGACAGAATGTGGATGCTCCAAAAATGATTCAACAAGAGTCTCCGTATTCCAAAGGCTTTCCAATGAAACATCAAGACCCAAAATGAGGCGTTTCAACAAGAAGAAACCGACAATTCAACAAGATGAATTCCCTGAGGTCACTATTAATATGACCGGCAGAGGAAGGCAACAGTCTGTCAACCCCGACCCTGATTTCTCTCCGGGAGGGAGAGTTGAGCGGGGTCTCTCTCAAAGAATGTCACGGTTGCAACGAAGAGCCAACCGACGTCGAGACTACAAAAGGATGCACGAAGGATTATCTTCAGATGAAGAACTGTCAGACACTTGTTCTGCTGTAGCTTCAGACAGTACCGCATCCAGCGTAGGGCGAGTCAGAGAATCATTCGCAATCACGTCGGATCAACTGGCACACATATTACAGGAAGCGTTGCAAGTCATCCACTCAACCTCCGCAAGTTTACTTGAAGAAGAGCGAGGAAGAGGATAAGAAGATGCATGATCTCGAGAGCAAAGTTAACGCTCTGATGACGGCCCAAGAAGTGAAGAAAACGGGCATTCCATACCCGTACCCGAGGGAGTGGGACTTGATTCCTTATCCCCTAAAATTTAATTTGATTAACTTTACTCCTTTTGATGGCAGGGGTTCACCCACTCAGCACTTGATCTATTTCAAGTCGCATCTCGGCGTAATATCTGGGAATGAAGCCCTGATGGTCCGGTCATTCGTAGGAACCCTTTGCGGGCCTGCCTTCGATTGGTACCAACGTTTAAAACCCGGGAGCATCACTAGCTGGGAAGATATGGAAGGATTGTTCCTCACCAATTTCTTCGATGACGACACGGAGGTCTCAATTGGCACCTTGTTGGATGAGAAGCAGATAAATGGAGAGTCGATTGATGTCTTCGTTAAACGATTCCGAAACAAAGCGGTAAACTGCCGAGATCCACTCACAGAAGAGTTTATCCTGTAGACATGTCACAATAACTTGTCGCTGGATTTATTAGAAGTCATGGGGGTTGTGCCTTCTAAAACTTGAAAGGAGTTAAAAGTGAGAGGTGAACAAGCCGAACGTTTTCTTAAGAGAAAGAAGTTGGAGAGAGGACTGCCACAAGATAATCCTCAAAAACAAAACTTTAATTCTTGAGGCAGAGGAAGAGGGTCTGGGGCTGCTGTTGATGCACATCAAACATCGCAACAGCCACAACAACAACCACAACAGTCGTCCTTCCAATTGGCGCCGAATCAGAACCAATAGCCTTCGAAATAGTTTAAGGCCTCAGAGCCTAACTTCCCGAAGGAATATTCTTTTAAGGATGATGAAGTTCTGGTCATCTTCAAATACCTGTTAGAGAATAATAAGATCAAGCTTCCGCCGGTCACAAACCAAGAAGAAGCAACGAAGATCAATGACCCGAAGTATTGTGCATATCATAGAAGGGTCCACCATCCCACTAAGGCGTGTTATGTCTTAAAAGACAAAATACAAACCTTAATCGATGTTGGCATCGTGACACCGAAGCCGAAAGAGAAGAAAGTAGGGGCGAATGTGGTGTCTATTAGCTTCGGATCAGTTCCTTTATCCTGGTTTCAAGCAGAACCGGTATCAAAGGTCAAGATGCAAACCATCAACGATGATCCTCATGGACAGCGCCAAAAGGGGCTTGTATCTCACACAACCTCCAACGGCGAAATCCTTTGGGTTCATCCAGATTTGCTTGAAGATGAGCAATGGACGACATCCACGTCGAAGAAGAAGTCAAAAGGCAAGGGAAAAGAGAAGTCCTGTTATGGAGCCTCGGCAATTCCGAAGAAGAATGATGAACAGATTCCAGCTTTACCGCTTTCTGACGAAGAACAAGAATCTTTTGCTACAAGGAGTGGTAATGAATACCATTATATATATCCTAAAACCTCTAACCCAAATGCTACAACTCTAAAGGAGCTGGGGATAGTTGTAACTCCTCCAATAGCTGCTGAAAAGCCGCAACAACCGGCTAAGCAAAAAGAGAAAGAACCCCAACATAAAGAGGTTCATGTTCCGAAGCAGTCTCATTTCAACCGACCGATTGGACGAGATAAACCGGAAAGCTCGAACGCACCATATTGTTTCGACGTTATGGCTCAGCTAGCTAATATTCCAGCAAGGATTACGCTATACGAGTTACTGCGCCTCTCGAAAGATACCAGAGAGGCGTTACGGTTGATGTACCACCTCGGAATCCCCGCCAGCAAGCTAGCCTCCACGGGGACGGTCATCTATGGATTCAATACTAGTGGATCAAGACCGTTGGGGAAAATTCGGGTGAAATGTCAGCTCGGAGACCTGAAATCCGAAGTCACCTGCTATGTAATTGATGCAGAGACTTCCTATAATTTGTTGTTGGGTCGCCCATGGATCCACAGTAATCTTATAGTTCCCTCTACCCTCCATCAGTGTCTGAAATATGTCGACACTAATAACGAGGTTAAGACGGTGGTCGCGGATAAGCAACCGTTTAAGGGGTTAGAAAATTATTTTACTGACTCCCTTCTTTACGGTACTGAATCCGATACTGAACCACCGGCCCATGGTACGGACAGCGAAGAAGAAGCTGATACCGAAGCTGGGCTTGATTATAGTGAAGGTCTTGTACTAAATGACATTGAACCTCTTGTAATCGATCTTGACGGTGGTGATTCGTCGGATGAAAGTTGTAACTGGCAGCTTGCCGATGAAATAATAAATGGTAATTTAGAGTACTCGCGTTGTCTTGATGATGTAATGCAGGAATTATACGACGACCCTAGTCTACATATGCCACTTCGTTCGTCCTGCACGACGACAAAAACATATCTAAAGTTCATCCGGAACAACTATAATCCTACCCGCAAAAACGGGGGGGTGAAAGAGAGATAGTTT